TGCGTGTTTCGCGCGCGTGCGCGGGCGCGCGCGCACGCGTGCGCGCGCGCGCGCGGGCGCGGGCGCGGGCGCGCGCGCGGCGTGGGTGCGCGAGCGCGCGCGCGCGTGCGTGCGCGCGCGCGCGTGCGCGCGCGCGTGAGCGTGCATGCGCCAGCGTGCATGCGCGAGCGCGTGAGCATGTGCGCATGCGCGCGCGCGTGGGTGCGCGCGCGCGGCGCGCGTGCGCGCGTGCGTGCGCGCGCGTGCGCGTGTGCGAGTGCGAGTGCGTGTAGGAAAGCGCGCGTTGCACATGTTGCGCGTGTTGCGCGTATTACGCGCGTTGCGCGTGTTACGCGCATTGCGCGCGCGTGCGCGTCCGCGTGCGTGCGCGTGTGCTTGTGCGCGTGCGTGTGCGTGCACGTGCGCGAGTGCGCGTGCGCGTGCGCGTGCGCGTGCATGCGCGCGTGCGCGTGCGCGTGTGTGTGGGTGTGCGTGTGCGCGTGCGTTTGCGCGTGCGCGTGTGTGCGCGCGTGCGTTCGCGCGTGCGCGTGCGCGTGCGCGCGCGCGTGCGCGTGCGCGTGCGCATGCGCATGGGCGCGCGCGTGCGTGTGCGTGCGCGTGTGCGTGTGCGCGCGCGCGCGTGCGCGTGAGCGTCCGCGTGCGCGCGCGTGCGCGAGTGCGCGTGCGCGTGCACGTGCGCGTGCACGTGCGTGTGCGCGTGCGCGTGCGCGTGCGTGTGTGTGTGTGTGCGTGTGCGTGTGCGTGTGCGTGCGCGTGTGCGTGTGCGTGTGCGTGTGCGGGTGTGCGCGTGTCCGCGTGCGTGTGCGCGCGCGTGTGCGTGTGCGTGTGCGTTTGCGCGTGCGCGTGGGTGTGCGCGCACGCGTGCGTGTGCGTGCGCGTGTGCGCGTACATGTGCGTGTGCGCGTGCGTGTGCGCGTGCGTGTGCGCGTGCGTGTGCGTGCGCGTGCGTGTGCGTGTGCGTGGGCGCGTGAGTTTGTGCGCGCGTGCGTGTTCGTGTGCGTGTGCGTGTGCGCGTGCCCGTGCGCGTGCGTGTGCGTGCGCGTGTGCGTGTGCGTGTGCGCGCGCGCGTGCGCCTGCGTGTGCGCGTGCGTTTGCGTGTGCGTGTGCGTGTGGGTGTGGGTGTGGATGTGGGTGTGCGTGTGCGTGTGCGTGAACGTGTGCGTGCGCGTGTGCGCGTGCGTGTGCGAGTGCGTGTGCGCGCGTGCGCGTATGCGTATGCGTGTACGCGTGCGTGTGCGAGTGCGTGTGCGCGTGCGTGTGCGTGTGCGCGTGCGTGTGCTTGTGCGTGTGCGCGTGCGTGTGCATGTGCGTGTGCGCGTGCGTGTGCGTGTGCATGTGCGTGTGCGTGTGCGTGTACGCGTGCGTGTGCGTGCGTTTGCGTGTGCGTGTGCGTGTGTCGTTGCGCGCGCGCGTGCGTGCGCGTGTGCGCGTGAGCGTGCGTGTGCGTGTGCGTGCGTGTGCGTGTGCGCGTGCGTGTGCGTGCGCGTGTGCGTGTGCGTGGGCGTGTGTGTGTGTGTGTGCGTGTGCGCGTGCGCGTGCGCGCGTGCGCGTGCGTGTGCGTGGACGTGTGCGCGTGCGCGTGCGCGTGCGTGTGCGTGTGCATGTGCGTGCGCGTGTTAGTGTGCGTGTGCGTGTGCGCGTGCGTGTGCGTGTGCGTGTGTGCGTGCGTGTGCGCGTGCGCGTGCGCGTGCGTGTGCGCGTGCGTGTGTGTGTGTGTGTGCGTGTGTGTGCATGTGCGTGTGCGTGTGCGTGTGCGTTTGCGTGTGCGTGTGGGTGTGCGTGTGCGTGTGCGCGTGCGCGTGCGAGTGCGTGTGCGTGTGCGTGCGTGCGTGCGTATGTGTGTGCGTGCCGTCTCGCAGTTTCGTTTTCGAATTTTGGGGCCTCAAGATGGCCCCAAGATGGCCCAAAAAAGCCCAAAGAGGGGCCCAAGAGGCCCCGAGAACGGCCCCAAGAACGCCGAAGATCGGCCCAAGAGTGCCCAAAAAGGGGCGGAAGGAAAGTTAGGACCCCCCCTCCTTTGGCCTCCTCATGGGCCCCCAAGAGGACCCAAGAGAGCCCCAGGAGAGCCCCAAGACGGCCCCAAAAGCGCCCAAGAGCGCCCCAAAAGCGTCCCACGAGGGCCCCAAGAGGCGGTTTGCTTCCTCCTTTTCCTCCTCCTCCTCAGCCAGCCCATGGCAGCTCCTTTTCAAAATGTGGCGTCTCGCCTTAGCGCCGCGCACATTCGTTCAAAAAATTGCAAGAGCTTCACGGATTGAGGGCGGCTCCTTTTCCAAATGTGGCTCTCGCCGTAGCGCCGCGCACATTCGTTCCCCAATCAAAGCTTGCCTCTGTAGGGGTCCTAGCGGATTCATTCCCCAATCAGAGCTTGCCTCTGTAGGGGTCCTAGCGGATACATATGGTTAGGTTAGGTTTGTCGCCGATTTTCGCTGCACGCCCGGGTGCCCGGGTGCCCGGGGGGTGCCCGGGGCCCGGGTGCCCGGGGGGTGCCCGGGGGTGCCCGGGTGCACGGATGCCCAGGTGCCCGGGTGCCCGGGCGTGCCCGGGGGTGCCCGGGGGTGCCCTATAGCCCTACAGCCCTAAGCCCTGTGCCCTATAGCCCTATAGCCCTATAGCCCAATAGCCCTATAGCCCTACAACTCTATAGCCCTATAGCTCTATAGCCCTATAGCTCAATAGCCCTATAGCCCTATAGCCCCCTAGCCCTATAGCCCTGATTGGGTTTTTCCTCCGGTATGATATGGTTACGTTAGGTTTGTCGCCGATTTTCGCTGCACGCCCCCGTGCCCGGGTGCCCGGGGGTGCCCGGGGCCCGGGTGCCCGGGGGGTGCCCGGGGGTGCCCGGGTGCCTGGGTGCCCAGGCGTGCCCAGGGTGCCCGGGCGTGCCCAGGGGTGCCCTTTAGCCCTATAGCCCTATAGCCCTAAGCCCTATAGCCCTGTAGCCCAATAGCACAATAGCCCTATAGCCCTTCAACTCTATAGCCCTATAGCTCTATAGTCCTATAGCTTAATAGCCCTATAGCCCTATAGCCCTATAGCCCCCTAGTCCTATAGCCCTGATTCGGTTTTTTCTCTGGTATCATGTTTTACAATTGCAAAAGTTTCACGGGTTCCCATGATCAACGCACCAGAAACGGTGTTTTGGAAGGATTCAGGATTATCCGGGCGCAACAATTATGTTGATTCGCTGTGTTGAAGTCCCAAAAATGGCGGTCTGGCACGATTCTGGATCGTCAAGACGCAGCAGTCAGGTTGATACATGGCGTTGAAATCCCGAGAACTATGTTTTTGCACGCTTCAGGATCTTCAAACTGTTGTCTTCCAACGAGGCAGTCCCTCAATGGAAATGAATCGTTGTAGGGGCCCATGAAGAGGGAGCTTGGAGGGAGGGTTAATTCAAGCATCGTTGATGACCCTTAGGTTTCCACCGGTCCTCCTCCTCTTCCTCCTTCTCCTCCAACGCCTCCGCCTCCGCCTCCTCCTCCTCATCCCTATCCTCCTCTTACTCCTTCTCCTCCTCCTCCTCCTCCTCCCTTCGCCCCCGTTCCCCATGGAACAGACGAGCTATATTTTACTATGTGTCTCGTCGTCCCTTTTCTGCTCTCATGGGCAGCGTTTCTGAACGGGCTGGTGGCGATGCGAGAAGCGTGAAGAATTTCAAACAACCTGGAAAGTGGATGGCAATTCCTTTTTCACAGTTGGTTACATCACATTGTGAAACAGCTTCACGGATGGAGGGCGGTTCTAAACAAGGATATCCCCCGACACTTCTCCAAACTCCATTATCCGAAGTATCCACCGACACCTGCTTGCTAGGTGTGAAAAGGTGTGTGTGTGTGTGTGTGAGCCACTTGGCTGTCCCCCTCCTCCTTTCCCACTCCCCTGGGGTCTACAATATTGCTAGAAAGAGGCAGCCCAGGAGGGGAGACGAGTTCGTCAACGCACCTCTGGGGCCCTGGGAACCTCCAAATCCACCCTCCGTGGCCGCCAAGATGCCCCGAATTGCCTCCTAATATGGCTCCAGAAAAGCTCCAACATGCCAGAGAGAGAACACCCAAGATTGCCTCAACACGGCCCTAAACGCCCCAAAGGCCCTAAGAGGATCTCCTAAAAGGATTTCAAATTGCCAGAACAATCTATCTCCCATTGGCTCTTGAATGACTTTCGCATCTTCTGCCCGCTTCTCAAAATCCAAAACGGCTCGAGAGGCCCCCCAGACAGGCCCAAGACGGCCCAAGGCCCCCAGGAGGGCCCAGAGACGGCCATAAGAGGGCCCGGCCCCAGCCCAGGAGGACCCAAGATGGCCAAAGAGACTTCCAAGAGGGCCCAGGAGGGGTCCAAGGGGGGGAACTCGCAGGATCCCCGGGAGCGGTCCGCCCCCCAAGACCCCCCACATGCCCCAAGAAGCCCCCTGAGGGCCCCCCCGAAGCCTCAAGGAGCCCTGCAAAATCGGAAGCCGCACAGCTCCTCTTCTGGGTGTCGGCGGAATGGCGTGCGCCTCATGAGTAAAACTGCTCAACATGTTCCTGGGGCGGACGGCGCACACGCCGCCTGAACGGACGAAGCGCATTCGACACCGTCGCCTGACTCCAGCTGGGGCAGCGACCCATGAGCGGAGTAGCCAACCGAACCGCGTAGGCGAGCGAAAGGCCCGAACCACGCGCAGCTACTACCGCGGCGGCACCTCGTATTCAAGGACCGGCGCACGGCACTTGCATCAAACGTGTTGTCAGGGGGGGTCTCGGCCCTCTGAAGTCTGCCGAAGACTCGGCAGGCAACAGATTCACTTGTAACGATGCCTCTGCCCGCGAAGGCGGCCCGTGACACGCAGAGCGTCAAAACCACCAAACGAATAGCTTCTACGTCTCCGCACAATCAAACATCTGCCGACTCCGCTCCGGGCACAGCAATCCGTGGGCCGAAGAAAAAGGATATTATGCAATGCCACGGGCCGCGAGGTGGAAGGGAATGCCCTTCTCCTGTCGGAAAATCCTGAAGCCCAATCACTTCTTCATTTCGAAGAAGAGCATCTTTACCGGGACAGACCCTGAATTCTTCACGATGTGGTTGCTGAAAATGGGCCCCGCGGACATCGGCGCGGGAACCCCAGCAAACGGCTTAATGGGAACGACTTGCCCTTTCTCCATGTCACCGCCTGGGTAGATCGTGATCTCGTCCCCCGCGAGGACGTAGATGAGGTGGTCCTTGTGGTTGTGCAAAGCGTCTGCGGCCCCCGGCTCCATGTTCATCTCGCCAGTGATCCAGTCGTCGTTCTCAGCATGGATCTTGTAGCAGTCAGGCGAGCAGACGAAAGGCTTGACGAAGGGACTGACGTCGCCGCAGGGCATGCACTTGGGGAGGGCCTCCACGAAGATGACGATGGCCTCCTGATCTTAGACGATGTTTAAACGCTGGCTGAGGCGTTTTTCCCCAAACAGCTTGCTGAACGGGGTGCTGCTGGGGTAAAAACTAACACTTCGCTTGAAACATATTTGCAACTCCCGTTCCTGAACTAGCCAGGATTTGGCGTTTCGCCTGGGACATCCTCGCAACTCTGGGCTCCGATGTGCCGCGCGCGAGGTGGTCCAGCGCGTTTCGCTCGAGACAACCTCACAACTCTAGGCCCCGAGATGCCGCGCACGAGATGATCTGGCGAGCTTCGCCCGAGACATCCTCGCAACTTTGAGCTCCGAGCTGCCACGCGCGAGATGGCTCGGCCCGTTTCGCCTCAAGCATCCTCGCAACTCTGGGCTCTGGCCAGTTTCGCTCGAGACATCCTAGCAATTCGTGGCTCCGAGATGCTGCGCGCGGGGTGGTCTGGCCCGCTTCGCCTGAGACATCCTCGAAACTCTGGGCTCCGAGAAGGGGGAGGGAGGGGGTGGGAGAAGAGATCAAACTCAAACGAACCATTAGATTACACTTTTCTTTTCGAAGTGTGCTCTGGGAGGGGTCTGGGCGCCGCCTGAGACATCCTCACAACTCTGAGCCCCCGGATGTCGCGCGCGAGGTGGTCCAGCCCGTCGCGCCTGGGACATCTTCGCAACTTGGAATTTCGGGCTCCGAGGTGCTGCGCGCGAGGTAGTCCAGCGCGTTTCGCCTGAAACATCCTCGCCACTCTGACCTTCCCCAAACAGCTTGCTGGACGGGGTGCTATTGTGATAGTTGTAATAGAAGCTAGTTCAAGTCGAAGGTCGGGCGCGCAGAGACATCCACAAGACAACTCGGTGGCCCCTGCCGTTTCGCCTGAGACAACCTCGCGTCGTGTCTGAGTTGGCTAGGATTGGGGGTTTCGCCCTAAACATCCTCTCTGTTCTGGGCTGCGAGATGCCGCGCACGAGGTGGTCCAGCGCGTTTTGCCTAAGACATCCTCGCAATTTTGAAATCCGAGAGGCCGCGCGAAATGGCCTGGCGCGATTCGCCTGAGACAACCACAGAAAATCTGAACTCCGAGATGCCGCGGGAGAGGTGGTCTGGCTTGTTTCGTTTGAGACATCCTCGCAACTCAGAGTTAGGGGACGCTGCGCACAAGGTTGAATGGCCCGTTTCGCCTGGGACATCTTAACAACTCTGAGCTCCGAGCCGCCGCGAGCGAGGTGGTCTGGCGCGTTTTGCCGGAGACATCCTCCTAGCTCTGAGCTCCGAGATGCCGCGCGCGAGGTGATTCGGCCCGTTTCGCCTGAGACATGTTCGAGACTCTGCCACCTGGGCTCCAATATGCCGCGCGAGAGGTGGTCCTGCACATCTAGCCTGAGACATCCTCACAAGTCTGGGCTCCGAGATGCCGCGCGCAAGGTGGTCTGGCGCGTTTCGACCGAGACATCCTCGCGACTCTGATCTCCGAGATGCGGCGAGCGAGATAGTCCAGCGCGACTCGCCTGAGACATCCTCGCAAGTCTGAGCTCTGAGATGCCGCGCGCGAGGTGGTCCAGCGCGTTTCGCTTGAGACCTCCTCACAACTCTGGGGCTCCAAGATGCTGAGCGCTCGGTGGTCTGTCGCGCTTTGCTTGAGACATCCTCGCAACTCTGGGCTTCGAGCTGCCGCGCGAGAGGTGGTATGGTCCGCTTCGCCTGAAACATCCTCACGACTCTGGGCTCTGAGAAGATGTGCGAGAGATGGTCTGGTCCGTTTCGCCTCAAGCATCCTCGTAACTCTGGGCTCTGAAAAATGTGCGCAAGGTGGTCTGCGCGCGAGGTGGTCTGGCCCGTTTCGCCTGAGACACCCTCAGAACTCTGGGCTCCAAAAGGGAGGAGAGAGGTGGTACGAGAGGTCACGCTCCAACGAAACATTTGATTACACTTCTGTTTCGAGTTGTGCTCTGGGAGGGGTTCGGGCGCCGCAAATGACATCCTCACAACTCTGAGTTCCGAGATGCCGCGCGCGAGGTGGTCTGGCGCGGTTCGACCGAGACAACCTTGCAACTCTGATCTCCGAGATGCCGCGCGCGGGGTGGTCCAGCGCGACTCGCCTGAAACGTCCTCGCAACTCTGAGCTCTGAGATGCCGCGCGCGAGGTGGTCCTGCGCGTTTCGCTCGTGACATCCTCACAACTCTGGGGCTCCGAGATGCCACGCGTTCGGTGGTCCTGCGCGTTTCGTTCGAGACATCCTCGCAGCTCGGTGCCCCGATGTGCCTCGCAAGAGATGGTCTCGTCCGCTTCGCCTGAGACATCCTCACAACTCTGGCCTCCAGGATGCCGCGCGCGAGATAATTAGACCTGTTTCGCTCGAAGCATCGTCGCAATGCGGAGCTCCGAGGTGCTGCGCGGGAGGTGGTCTCGCCCGTTTCACTGGAGACACCCTCGAAACTCAGGGCTCCGAGGGGGCGGAGGGAAGAGGAGGGAGGGGTCCGACCCAAACGAATGATTTGATTCCACTTTTATTGTCGAATTGACCTTTGGGGGGGTCTGGGCACCGCCTGCGACATCCTCGCAACTCGGGGTTCGGAGATGCTGCGCGCGAGGTGGTATGGCCCGTTTGGCCTGGGACATCCTCGCCAACTCTGGCCTCCGAGCTGCTGCGCGCGAGGTGGTCCAGCCCGTTTCGCTTGAGTTAAGTCGGGTATTTCCCCCTTCGGAGGGATTTTCGACACCCAAAACATATTCCAAAAATGGTCAAACAATAAAAAAATCCACATACTATTTTTTAACTATTTCTGACGATTCCCCCTGTAGAGGGACAGGCCCGACTTAACGCCTGAGACATCCTCGCAGCTCTGGGCCCCGATGTACCGCGCGCGGGGTGGTCCAGCACGTCTCGTTTGGACCACCCTCGCAGCTCTCGGCTCTGAGAAAGTGCGCGCGAGGTGGTCCGGCGCGTTTCGGTTCAGCAAGGGCTCCCAACTTCGCGCTTCGCGCTGCGCGAAGCGCGAAGCGCGAACAACTTCGCGCTCTCGCGCTGCCCCCAAAGGAGAGAAGAGGAGGACGAGGAGGCGGGGCAAGAGGAATGAGGGCCGCGAAGCGCGAAGCGCGACTAACTTCGCGCCCTCGTGGGAGCCCTTGTGGTCCGGCGCGTTTCGCTTCAGACACCCTCGCAACTCGGGGCTGCGAGGTGCTGCGCGCGAGGTGGCAGGGCGAGCTTCGCCGGACACGCGGGCGAGAATCGAGGCTCCGAGGGGTAGGATTAGGTCGGGCATGTCCCCCTACAGGCGGAGCTTGGGCGAAAAATCAAAAATACCCCAAAAAAATCCCCAGAGTATTTCTTAAACTAATTTTGAATACTCCCCCTGTAGAGGGACAGACCCGACTTAAGGGTAGAGGGGGGAGAAGGGGGTCAGACTCGAACGAACCACTAGATGACACTTCCCTTCTCGACCTGTGCTCCGGGAGTGGTCTGGGCGCCTCTGGCCGGGCGGAGGAGGCAGCCGGCGAGGCGCGAGCACAGCCCACCGGTTGATTGCAAGGGCTTCTCAGGGGCGGGCCATGCCTGAGGAAATCATCCGGATACCTCGAGCCAGGGCTGAACCTAAACGGTGTTTTTCGTTTTCGTGCTCTTTTCGTTTTCCCTCGCTTGTGTCTCGAATCCGCCTTTACCGCCGCAGAACGAAATCGAAACGACGACGGCCCACGAGATCGCCAAACAACACCGTTTAGGTCCAGCCCTTAGCGAGAGCGCGGCGAGCGGGAAGGGGGCAGGAAGGGGAAAACAAGAAGGAGGAATGGAGGAGGTCGTAGTAATAGTGGTAGTATTAGTAGTAGTAGTAGTAGTAGTAGTAGTAGTAGTAGTAGTAGTAGTAGTAGTCGTAGTAGTAGTAGTGGAAATAGTAATAGAACTAATAGTGGTAGTAGTAGTAGTAGTAGTAGTAGTAGTAGTAGTAGTAGTAGTAGTAGTAGTAGTAGTAGTAGTAGTAGTAGTAGTACTAGTACTAGTAGTAGTAGTAGTAGTAGTAGTAGTAGTAGTAGTAGTAGTAGTAGTAGTAGTAGTAGTAGTAGTAGTAGTAGTAGTAGTAGTAGTAGTAGTAGTAGTAGTAGTAGTAGTAGTAGTAGTAGTAGTAGCAGCAGTAGTAGTAGTAGCAGCAGTAGTATAGTAGTAGTAGTAGTAGTAGTAGTAGTAGTAGTAGTAGTAGTACTAATAATAATAGTAGTAGTAGTAGTAGCGGTAGTAGTGGTAGTGGTAGTGGTAGTAGCGGTAGCAGTAGTAGTAGTCGTCGTCGTCGTCCTGGTAGCGATAGAAGTGGTAGCAGTAGCAGTAGCAGTAGCAGTAGTAGTAGTAGTAGTAGTAGTAGGAGTAGGGCTAGTAGTAGCAACAATAAGAGTGATGGTGGTAGTAGTCGTAAGGATAATGATAATAGTAATACTAGTAGTAGCAGTAGTAGTAGTAGTAGTAGTAGTGGTAGCAGTAGTAGTAGTAGTAGTAGTAGTAGTAGTAGTAGTAGTAGTAGTAGTAGTAGTAGTAGTAGTAGTAGTAGTAGTAGTAGTAGTAGTAGTAGTAGTAGTAGTAGTAGTAGTAGTAGTAGTAGTAGTAGTAGTAGTAGTAGTAGTAGTAGTAGTAGTAGTAGTAGTAGTAGTAGTAGTAGTAGTAGTAGTAGTAGTAGTAGTAGTAGTAGTAGTAGTAGTAGTAGTAGTAGTAGAGGTAGTGGTAGTGGTAGCAGCAATAATTGTGGCGGCACGGGCGAGGGAGACGGGGCCAGGCCCCGAGCATCTGTCGGCGGGCATCCCTGGCGAGGGCGCCCCCTGGAGGCGGCATCGAGAGCGCGAGGGCACCCCCGGCATGGCGGAGGAAGCGAAGAAGAGGAGGGAGGACGACGAGGAGGAGGAGGAGGAGGGAGGGGGAGGGGAGGAGAAAAAGGACTGGGGGGACGACGAGGAGGGGGAGGGGGAGGAGGAACAATGCGAAGACCTTTTTGGCTGTGGGCGACTGCCGACAAGACTGCTGCGCGGCGCGGCGGCAGG